TTTTTTTATGTGGTGCTGAGGATCGAACGCATGCATGCTAGGCAAGTGCTCTACCACTGAGCCACAACTCCAGCCTAACATCTAGTTTTTTTGAGGTAGAAGATTAGACTATGATTTAGGATCTTTCTTATTTTTCTTTACTTTGATATTTTTTGCAAGAATACAATACATTATTATTAACCACAGTCATCATGTTGAAATAGATTCCCAGGAATTTTTTTATCCTAATTAAAACCTTTTGCCCTTTTACCAACGTATCCTTATCCTTCACTTATCCCATTATCAGCCTCTAGCAACCACAATTCTACTCTGCTTCTGAATATGACTTTAATTTTTTTAAAATATTTATTTATTTGTAGACAAACACACAGTATATTTATTTTTATGTGATGCTGAGGATTGAACCCAGTGCCTCACATGCCAGGCAAGCACTCTACCACAGCCCCGACTTTTAAAATTTTTATATAGGGCTGGGGATGTGGCTCAAGTGGTAGCGCGCTCGCCTGGCATGCATGCTGCCCGGGTTCGATCCTCAGCACCACATACCAACAAAGATGTTGTGTCCGCCGAGAACTAAAAAATAAATATTAAAAAAAAATTCTCTCTCTCTCTTTTAAATAAATAAATAAAAATTTTATATATAAATATAATAAGTTGTTTGTCTTTGTGTGCCTGAATATTTCACTTAGCATAATGTCTTCTGGGTTCATTCATGTCACAAATGATAGGATTCTCTTATTTTTAAAGGCTAATGGATATTTTTAAAGGCTAAAGGATATTCCTTTGTGTATGTGTGTGTGTGTATGTGTGTGGGTGTGTGCGTGTTCTTTATCCATTTATCTATTGTGTTAGTCAGCCATGTAGCTGTGACCAAAATACCTGACCAGAACAACTTACAGGAGGAAAAATTTATTTTGGGCTCACAGTTTCAGAGGTTCAGTCCATGATGAGGCTATTCTATTACTTTGGGCCCCAGGGGATAGAATACCATGGCAGGAGGGTGGTAATGGAGAAAACTGCTCACCTCTTAGCAGCCAGAAAACACAGAGAGGAAGGGGAAAGGGCCTCAGGGAAGATGAACCCTTCCAGGGCATGCTCCAGCTCCATCAACTATGCCCCATCCTCCTACAGTTACCATTCAAATTAGGATGGACTGATTTGGTTACAGCTTTTATAATCTAATAATTTTATCTCTGAATATTCCAGCATTAACACAGGAGCTTTTGGAAGACACCTTATATCCAAACCAAAACATCTGTCAATGCACATTTAGATTGATTCCAAATCTTAGCTCTTATGAATAAAGCTTCAATGAACATAGCAGTATAGCCTTGCAGCCTTGACATACTGATTTTATTCCCTTTAGATATATACCCACAAGCAAGGTTGCTGAATCTTTTGGTAGTTCTATTTTTAGTTCTTGGAACCTCCATACTGTTTTCCACAATGTCTCCTTTCTTAGTACAGCTATAAGATTATAGCTGTAAATCTCTCTCAAGTACTGGTTTTAACATATTTTCATTTTAATACATCTCAAAATATTTTCTAATTTCTCTTGCAATTTTAATTGATTGATACTAGGGATTAAACCCAGAAGTGCTTAACCTTTGAATCACATTCCCAGCCCGCCCTCCTTTTTAATATTTCTTTTAGTTATGCATGGATATAATATCTTTATTTTGTTCATTTGTTTTTATGTGGTGCTGAGGGTAAAACCTAGTGCCTCACATCTGAGAGGCAACTTCTCTGCCTACTGAGTCACAATCTCATTTTGAGACAGGATCTTGTTAAGTTGCTTAGGGCCTCACTAAGTCTCACAAAATTGCTGAGGCTGGTCTCAAACTTGCAATCCTCCTGCTTTGGTCTCTTTGAGTTGCTAAGGTTACAGGCACATGCCACCATGCCCAACTGTCCTATGCATTATTAAAAGCCAATATTGTTGTATTATGTGCACAAATATGTAACAACAAATCCCACCATTATTTACAACTTCAATACTCCAATTTAAAAAATGTGGAACAAAATGTGGGTATTGAAGCTATGCATTGTAGCACATGATATAATCCCAATTACTCGAGAGACTGAGGCAAGAGGATTGCAAGTTGCAGATCAGTTTCAGCAATTTAGTGAGACCCTCTCTCAAAATAAAATAAAACAAACTGGGGATGTAGCTTAGTGGAAGAATGCTTCCTAGCATGTTTGAGGCCCTGGGTTGGCTCCTGAACACACACACACACACACACACACACACACACACACACAGGCGCGGATGCACACACAAAATGTAATGAAGTCTCCAGCTTTTTTGGTTGACTTGTTTGGTTGACAGTTTTTACTCCATATGTTTTAGAGCTTTTTTGTTTCACCCAACTTTATGCTAAACAAGAACAAGACTAAATCATAATTGATAATAATTGAAGTTCATTAAAAAATGTCACATTGAAAGTTGGTCTTGGTGCTGAGTACCTGTAGTCCCAGCTACTACGGAGGTTGATGCAGGACAATCATGAGTTCAAGGCCAGTTTGGACAACACAAGCAAAATAGTGAAACCCTGTCACAAAAAAAAAAAAAAAAAATAGTGAAACCCTGTCACCAAAAAATAGTGTGTCAAATCATATATGTGCTTATCTTGCTTAAAATCTTATTTATCAGGCTGAGGGTGTAGCTCAGTGGTAGAGCACTTATGTAACATGCACAAAGCCATCTCCAGCATCACAAAACCAAACCAAACCCTTACTTATCATTATATATCAATTTTTTCTTTTAGTTTTTATACACAGATTTTTAATAGAAAATAATTTATTTTGTGCTTTTGATTTTCCTGGGAAACATACAAAAACCACAAGTAAGTATAATAAAATTTTAATATAAACTCAAAGCCTCTCTTCTTCTGAACAAGGGCCATAAAGTCCTAGTCTGACTTTTGTGTCATGCCTGGAGAATGTGAGGCCCATCCAGAATTATTAGTGATGAGAATTAGGGAACCAGGGTGGAGTCCAGGATGGTTATGCCTGAGAAGCTCAGAGGTAAAGCTGTGAGTGGAATGAAAGCATAGTACAATTGAGAGGCCAGTTACAGGCACTGGGGAAGAAAGAGGGAACAACTATCTTAAGTGAAACAGATTATATCCCTGGGCCTGAATGTACTGGAACCAACCATGGTCTGGCTCATAAGAGCTGGGAGGTTTAGAAAGTGACCTATATCTCTTGCAATATCTCAGGTACAAAGATGAATGTGCAGGGAATTAAGCACTTCTTATCCACTGAAGAATGGACTCCTGGTGGATGTTGGCAAAGATGCCTGATACATATTGTGAGAGGTAGTGAAGGTAGGTGGTTCGTCTTAATTTTGAATTTGGTTTCATCTATGAAGGGACAGGGATGAGACCTCAATTTCCTCCTTTAATATGGGGTCCTCCTAGCTCTAAAACATCTCCTTCTGGAAACTTTCTCTAATAACTACCATCCTATTTCACCATCCTTGCCCAAAGAGGCTCCCTCTCAAGTACTACCTATTTCCCCACTACCGACTCCTCCAATGGTGAAGAAGCATCAGATGAACTTATCCCTACCAGAATGGGCTTAAGTTCCCCCCTATTAAGGGCATGGAATAGAAGTTTTAGAAAAACAAAATGCCCTCTTGAGCTTCAAAACAATGCCTTATGTCTCCATAGAAAGTACTTGCTTGAATTGAAGACCTAAAGGAATGAATTTATGATGGGAGAATTTCTGTTGAAATTCTTGTGCTGGTATGGGAATCCCAGATAAGGCTTCTGTATTTGAGGAGTACAGGCTGACCTCTCTAGGAATCCAGTCCTTGGCCCAGCTGTTTCTTCTTTTCTACAAGAGGGTTGAAGGGCAGAGCCAGCTCCTGCCGCTGTCCCCTTGAGTTTCTGCTATAGGTACACAGAAGAACCTGCTCCCAGACACCCTCCATCCTGCTTTGCTTTCCACCCCTCCCCCATCCTGCTTGGGACTGTGAAATAGGAAGTCGAGAGACTGGACTCCGGAGGGACCTGAGAAGGAAAAACAGCACAAGGATACAGAGCACAAGAGGCACAGTCCCGCTGAGCCAAACAATGGCAGGAAAGGAAGCCACCCAGTAGCCACTGCAGTTTTTCTTCAAGGCTAAGTCTGAACAGACCTCTCCTGGCAAGCATGTTATACAACTATTTCAGAACAGAAGGTAGTATTTCTTCAAATGCTTTTCAAAATAAGTGTGTGTGTGTGTGTGTGTGTGTGTGTGTGAGAGAGAGAGAGAGAGAGAGAGAGAGAGAGAGAGAGAGAGAGAAACGACAGAGATGTGAGAAAGATCCAGATCTTTGAAGACTTGAACACCAGAGTTTGGATCCCCACCTACTCTGGACATGATTGAATTTCAGAAAGATTTCCTTGGCTGCTGTGAGAATTGGATTTAAGGGGTTGAGAGTGGAAAGAGTTGGGAGGTCACTGCATAGTCCCCCCTTTCAATTTTGAGGCAGTCAAGGCCAGAGGCTCCCAAGAACACAGGATTGCAGAATGGGAGCCTACGCCCCAGTCCCAGGTTTCCTGCAGTGGTCATTCAATCCCTCCCCATTACTTCTAGGGAAGGAAGCTTCTCATTGCTGCACATCAAATACCCCTCCCAATCAGACATAGGGGAGACCTGTTAAAAGCTCCTTGGAGGAGCTTTGGGACCTCCAGATCCAGATGTGCAGGGAGAGAGACAAACCTAGAATGTATCAGAGTTGCTGGCAAGAATGGGGGACAGATAGGACAAGACTGGAAGGGGCTGGGAACTGTGATCTGGAAGAATTCTTGTGTGTGTGCGTGTGTGTGTGCGGGCGTGCACAAGTGCATGCATGTACAATACTAGGGATTGAGCCCAGGGTGTTCTGTCACTGAACTGCATAGCCCCTCCCTTTTAATTTTGAGACAGAGTCTCCCTAAATTGCCCACACCAGCTTCAAACTTTGAATCCTCCTGCTCAGAACCCTTTTTATAAGCAAGAAAACAAGAAATATTATAATAGCTACCTTTTATTGAGCACCTACTTTGTGCCAGGCACTTTACATAGTCTGTGCTTATAAATCTCACAATGATCTCAGAGGTAGGCATCATTATCACTTTTTATGTATGAGGAAACTGAGATAAGTTTAAGCAGCTTGTTTAAGATCACACAGCTGATTGATGAGTAAGTGATATAATCGGCACTGGAGATGTGCATCTGTGAAGGACCCAAGGCCTTTGACAGGTATTTTGCACACTAAAAAAATAAAGAGGAGGGGCCAGGGCTGTAGCTCAGTGGCAGAGCACTTGCCTAGCATGCGTGAGGCACTGGGTTCAATCCTCAGCACCATATATGACTGCAAAAAAAAATTTTATTTTTTTAAAGAAAAGAAAGGGGATAGAGAGGTGGGTGAAGGGAAGAATTCTCTAGGGGGTGGGACACTAGTTCTGCTGTCAGAGCTGTTGAGGAAAACTGAGCTCCACTCTGCTTTCCCACATCTCTCCTTTGACAAGCCACTCCTTCCCAACAGTCAGCTACAAAGTCAGGAAAAACTCTGGCTGAGATTTATCTTCTCAAAAAGGAAAAATGACTGAGATGAAAGACCTTACTTATCCTGTATGTGTATTGGCAGGTGTCACTGTGTGCATGCGGCTCCAGTGCCAAAGCATACCACTGCCAGAATAAGAACACTGCTCACTTTTAGGTCACACTCCTGCCACATGTGCAGAGTGAGATACCAAAGGAATAGTTAAAAGAGTTGTTTATTTCCTACCAGAGTCCAGGGAAACCACCTGGGAGGAGGCCAGGTCAACAATCAAAGCCTCAAATTTGCCCCTTGACCCCTTCCTCCAGGCTTATCTAGCTTCAGGGATATTGTGTTTATTCTGTGGATTCAGGGACCCATGGTGTGTGCTATTCTCTCTCTCTCTCTCTCTCTCACACACACACACACAAACACACACACACACACATATATACACACACAGAGTTCTTGAGTTAAGGCACTAAGTGTGGTCTGCATGGCCCTGGAGTCTGTGCCCATCAAGCATTTATAGCCAGTGACTGAGCCCATGTGTGTACACAGATGGGTTAGTGCAATATTAGGAGTCTCTTCACAAACAGGGACAAAAGTGGTGACTCTAGGCTAGGCCTTCTGTTCCCTAGGAGGGAACCTCCTGTCTCCTTTTCAATTGTTGAAACACCTGACTCTTCTCCCCAGCTGGAGTAGAACCAAGTCAGCCACAGTTCAGATATGTGCTGTGAACTCAGGGCCTGGCTTCTAACACCAAGAATGTACACTTTCTGAGTGTGGCAGGGAATATTTGGGGGACTTTTAGGAGGACAAAGATGGCCATGAAGGCCAGGATGGAGGGGAGAGGTTTCTCTTTGTGCTTTTAAAACCGGACCATAAGTAACAAACAAACAAACAAACAAACAAAAAAAACCAATCTTTCTCCTCTGAGCTCTGACTCCACCTCAGGAAAGAGGTTTTTGTAAACTGGAGTAAGTCTGGAGGTTAAGGGAGCTATTAGGATTGTGCATTGGTGCCAGAGGTTGCTTTGATGTCCCCTGCTTCGGTCCCACCTACAGCAGTTGGCTCCAACACATTTAGTTCAACACCCACATAATGGGTATTACAGAGGTGGAGATCTCCAGAGATGTATGTTCGGGTGTGATGGAGTTAAAAATCTGTATGAAAGCTAGGGTTAGAGCTGTGGGGTTCCTGGGCCTTGGGCTGAATCAGGACGCCCAGGTGAAGTAGGCAACCTCGTCCAGGTCGACGGGGTAATCAGTGAGCAGCACTGGCGTCTTGTCGAAAAGCTCGCCCTTGTAGCTGCGCCACTTGCCAGCAGGCAGGTAGACGTCGCGCTCCTGCTTGCCTGGCTCCAACACCGGCGCCACTAGCAGTGTGTCCCCGATAAGGAACTGAGAGTCAATGCGGTGAGCTGTTTCGTCGCCGGGCGCGATCCACCAAAGGGGGCGCACTATGGGGTCGCCAGTGTCCGTGACCTCACCGGCGAGTTCCAGCAACAGTGGTGCCACAAGCGAGGCCCGCAGCGCAGCGAACTTGTGTGCAATGGCCACCACTTCTGCGTCATATTGCCAGGGCGGGATTGAAAACTGCATGGCTGGCATGAAAGCGGCCACCTCCAACCAGCGCACGTAAAGCTCGCGCTCCGGTCCATCTCTGCCGCCAGCTGAGCGCTCAGGGACTGCGTTGCCACCCACCATATCCGGCAGGATGAATGGGTAGCCCAGCATGCTGACGGTGAGCACCGCTGGGATGAGCGAGCGCAGCCCCAAATCATAGCCCCACACCGAGTCGCGGTCCACCAGGCGGAAGAAGCAAGAGATGTTCTGTGACTGGTAGCCCACACGGACCTCGGCCAGTGAGAAGAAAGGCAGAGCCATTTCAGTGTAGCGCCGGCTCCACACGCTGGGGTCAGGCAGCGATCTATAGGTGCTAAAGTCGCGCGGCAGGTAGCTGACTTCACCCGCGTCGAATTTAAAGGAGGCCACAGCGTAGCGCGAACGCAGGCGTCTCAGGTGTCCCTGAAACCAGTCGCGGGCCTCTGGGCGCGTGAAGTCGAGCACCGCGCCAATGCCATTCCACCATCGCACAAGCGCTGGCAGCCTGCCTGTGGGTTCGCGCACGAACAGCTCACGCTCCACGCCCTCGCCAAAACGTGAGGAGTTGTAGTTGACAAATGGGTGCACCCAGAGTGTGACACGGAAGCCAGCGTCTCGCAGGCGGCGGAACATGTCACTGGCGTTGGGGAATTTGGCCTCGTCGAATTCGAAGTCGCCGTAGGCCGGTGTGTACATGTCGTCAATTTCCAGGTGGCTGCTATTGAAGCGGTGCTGGCGGATCTGCTGAGCAAAACGCAGCACCTTATCCTGGTCCACAGCACGCCCATAGAGCGCCCACGTGGACCAGATAGGGTCTCTGAAGGCCTCGGGCGCTGGCACCCTCGATGGTTTGTTGAAGTAACGCCGCACCATGTACTTGTGGATGGAAGTGACGTCTGAGCCGACGCATACCCTGTAGCTGAGCTCTGGTGCTGCGGTGCGTCCGGCAGGCGATTTGTAAGGCGTGTCGTGGTAGCGTGCCTGGAGCCGCATCGAACGCTCCGTGCTATTCCAGCCCAGGTGGAAAGGCACCGAGTCGTTGACTTTGATGGCAGCTGCGCGAGATGATAGCCAATAGCGCTCAAGTATGCCCCCAAATGCGGCGTCAGAAGAGTAGACATCGCTAGTGACAAATGGCTGCGGCTCCAGATGGCCGTCCAGACGGATGGGCCAGTGTTGTGTCCTCATCTCAGCACCTCCATACCAATGAGCAGCCTCATCGCCCAGGAACATGGCATGCTCTACCGCACGTCCCGGGGCTGCTTCCTCCCAGCGCACGCGATAGCACATGACGGTGTCCTTGGGCCTCACAGTCTGGATGAAGAAGTGTAGTGGGCGCCCATCCGCCGTGCGAGAGCAGCCAAGCAGGGCGCCATCGCGGCTGCAGGAGTCGAGGTCCAGTGCTCCAGAACGGAAGGCTAAACGGAAGACTTGCTCGCCCTTCTGGTTTCGGATGGAGAAGCCGCCACGGTTGAGGTCTAGCAGCTCTGCGCGAAGGCGTTCTGCTTTGCGTAAGGAAGCACTATAGTAGCACCAGGCCACTACTGCGGCCAACACCAGCAGCAGCCCCAGCACCGCGGAGCCCAGTAGTGGCCTCAATTCTTTGGACGGCTTGGGCTTGGAGGGAGAGAAGTTGTCGGGCAGGAAAGTGTACATGGCCGTTGCTTCGACAGCCTCAGAGCTTTTATGGCCTGTGTGGTGACTAGGGCGGCGGCGGGGGTAGGCCTGGCTCTTCTCTTGAAGGTTCTGGGGCATCAGCCTCCAGCTAAGGAAGGAGCTGGTAGTTGGTCCACTTGACCAAGCCCATCTGAACCTCACCTGTAGGACTCTGAAAGCGGGGGAGGGGAGTAGGGAGGAGGGTAATAGGGAGGGAGGGAGTGGGAGAGGGAAAGAGGGGGAGGGAGAGAGAGAGAGGAGACTGAGCTTTCTCATTCCATAATATTTTCATTTGCTGTGGCACAATGGGTACTAGAGATGTACTGAAACCTAAGGTCTTGATGAGTAGAAAAGATGACACCAGGACAGTCTGCCTGGGTCCTACCTGTCCTTTCTCATGGGCTCTAAGTTCTTGACAAAATGAGTCAGGACTCTGAATGGGGAGAATCATGTAATTGGCAGATAGCATGCTTCCCCTTTTTCCTGATGGAGAAACAAACCCAGAAAGGGTCAGGGTGCTGTCCTAGACCACTGGATAAGTCAGGACTACTGGGTGACACATGGAGCAATTCAGGTTTAAGAGGGATGGAAATGGAGAGAGTCTTGTCTCCCAAAGGCAAGGCCATAGTAAGAGAGGGGGATGGTCCAGCCAGTTCCTTGAGAATCCCCATATCAGGAATTCAAACCAGAGGTGCTTTACCACTGAGCTGCACCCCTAACCCATTTATTTATTTATTTTTGAGGCAGGATCTCACTAAGTTACTCAGGCTGACCTTGAGCTTGCAATCCTCCTGCCTCAGCAGACCCAATAATTGGGATTACAGGGGTAAGCCACTGCACCAGCTCCTTGAGAGTTTTAACAGGGCAGTAGGATAGCTTCCCTGTACCCAGAGGGGAAAGGAGGAAGAGGAGACCGCTCAGGCATGGAATTTTATCTTGAGTTAGAAGCCAGATGACATTTTGAAATTAAAGAAGATAGTCCAAAACCAGACTCAATCCCAAGGCCTGGTTTAAAGGGAGGCAGGGGTTAGTGCTGGGGTCAGGATATGCCTTCTAAAATCAGTTCCTTTGCCATCAAACCCCACCTAGTTCTGAATCATTAACCAACATTCCATTTCTCTGCCTACCTTCTTTCTTTGCTGCAAACATAACATCTGTGCATCACCTGCTTCCTAACTTTATCTCTACCACTTACCCTCTGTACTGCTGTCCCTGCCCTAGTTTGGATACTGTCACTTCTCCCCTATACTATTGCAACACTTCTCCAGTAGGTCTCCCTGCCCCCAACTTCTTTTCCTCTAGTGTCTTCTGCTCACAACAACTAAAGTGATCTAAAGCACTTATCAAACCACATCTGTGCTTACTTCAAGAGACGCTCATGGTAAAATTCAGATCTGCAAGCTTTGAAATCAAGGTTCAAGACATTCCTTAGCTACCTTTCTGATTCTATCTCCAGCCAGGCCTGTCCAGTGACTTATCAAAGTGCATTCTCTCAATCTAAATTTTTTCAGGCCACCTGCTTCAGAAGATTTCACACTCAGCCTGGTAACTCTCCTTCACCTACAAGCTCTCTAGTGATCAGACTGACCACCACACATATAAAATTTCATATACTATATGGTGAACATCTGGATATGATTATAGAGAAATACAGGCTTGAGGGAAAGTTTCTGTCTGAATCCGCTGCTCAAGGTCAATGATCCTTTCTGTTTCCAACCCTCAGGGCAGAGTTCAATAAAGAAACACCACCATACAGGCAGATACACTGACAGCTAGCTGGCTGCCTAGCTGCTCCAGCTGGGGTGATGAAGAGATGGAGACTGGCAAACAGTAATTAGCCTCCTTCCAGATGCCAGTATCTGTGTCTGTCTCCAGTGACTTCCAAGGAAATGCTGGAACTACTCAGATTCTTTAACTCTTTTAGCTTCCCCTCACAGAAATATCAAGAATGCCAGGTGCTGATCAGAATATTGATCATAGATGTCAATACACAGCGCCTTCCATACCCTTCCCTCAAGTTGCTCCCTCCCCCTAATTCCCTAAATTTTTCAGTCTCCCTGGTCTAGAACAGCCTCTTTCACTTCCTCTAAGCACACACAACTTAGTTTTGCTCCTCACTTCCTATAAGTACAGGTTAGAAAAGTCCTCCTGGAAAATGCATGCAGTTGCCTTTTCTGACATGCTCAAAGTTGAGCAGAATCCCAAGAAGGCTTTAGAGGACCAGTCCATATTTGCTATATTCATTCATTTAAGACAATAATGACTTCATTTCTGGGCTCTAAGGGAATAGGTGAGAGGCTTCATATCTAAATAGGACAGAGACGTCCTCATCCTCAAAACTTTATATTATCAGCCTGATTTCATGACTCTTGGAGGTATAAAGAGCCTGCCCACCTTAGTGACCTCAAATGCCTCAAAAGTCATTTCTAACACTTGGGTTCTGAGAATCTTAACTTTTTGAATCCTAAAGTTTTTTGATGCAGGGTCAGGTGGCCCAAGCCTGTAATCCCAGCCAATGGGGACTGAGACAGGAGGATTCCAAGTTCCATGCCAGCTTCAGCAACTTAGCAAGGCCTTCAGCAACTTAGTGAGACCCTGTCTTAAAGTAAAAAATAAGAAGGGTGAGGGTGTATGTAGCTCAGTAGTAAAACTATCCTGGCTTAAATCCCCAGTAAAAATAAATAAATAAATACATAAATAAATAATTTTGTCTTCATTGATGACAGGCAGGAGCCAACTGACCTAGGCACCCATTCTGCTGGGCACCATTCTGGTCTCCCTATGGAATGGCAGAGGTAGGTTAGTGTCCATTTTACAGATGAGGAAACAGTGGCTCAAAGAGACAAAGGGGCTTGTCTGAAGTCACCCAGGCAATAAGTCTGCTTCCAAATTCCTACCTCCACTCTCCACAGCATATTTTGGGAGATGGGAGAAAATGGTCTGATTTGGTTACCTGAAATGCACAGCAGGCTTCCATCAGATGGGAATGGGCATGGTGAGGCGTCTTTTAAAGGTTGGTGCTCTGGATTGCTCTGGGCCAACCAGAAAGATTCTAAAGGTGGGAAAGGGACAATTTTTCTTTGAAAGGAGCCATTTTAATGATATCTGGTACCAGGGCTGTGGGGTAGGAACTCTGTGGTTCGGGTGCGAAGTCATTAGAGGACCCCTGTAATCTGCCGCCTCCACCATCTGGCCAATGGTGAACCACAGGCTAATGCTAAGCAAGTGGGGTTTGCCGGTCGGGCCTTCTTGGGTCTTTTCCCACTTGACATTCAACCGCAGTCTTGGCTTCCAGCCCCTGGTCTGGTCTGAGGGAGAGAGCCCAGCTTGGCTCAACTGAGTGGGGGCCATTTCAGAGACGTTTGTTGGGGGATGGGGCGGGTGGAAATGTCAAAGGCAACTCGATCCGGCCCATCTCCCTCCACTGCAGGATCCGTAAGGATCGAGTGACTGCACTTACACAGCCTGGAATACTCCACACCCACTCTCAGCGCCCCACCGCAATTTCATTATTCAAAGGGGCAGACGGAGGTCATGGGACCTGCCGTCTGTTAGGAACCTTGGACTCGAGGAGGTGCCCAGGTGTCCAGGATCGCTCCACCTACTCTTCTTTAAGAGCGAAAGTTCAGAAATAGTGCTCCCTCAGCAGTCCCCCTACCCGCATCGTCCCGAGGTCCTTCTGCTGGATTCACTCACGGCTGTGGCCTCTGGGTAAAGGTGGGAGTGAAAGAATCCTTCTGCAGACCCCCTCCACGCTAGCAGGAATTGAGCTGCCACCCCGCCGCGCTGGGCGCAGCCTCGCTGGGCTCAGTTGAGTCCCTCCTCGGGCCCCGCCCTCGGACTACTCCGCCACGCCCCAGTCGTCCAATCTCTCTTGGGCCTCTGGCTCCAGCCCCGCCCTTAGTGCCCGACACTTCCCCCATATTTTCAAGAGGACCTGAAGCCTCACCCTTTAGCCTCCACCTTCACGCCCGCAGCTCTACTCTAAGCCCCTGGCATCTCAGGCCCCCCTCCAGCTGGAGTGCCTCCGGGCTCGTTCTTGGGCTTGAGGACCCGCCCTTTCTGGGCCATTTCTTACCCTCGAGCGGGCGGGTCTTTGCCCCAGGCCTATTGGGTAATGTAGTTCTGAAGAATGTTGGGGTTCTTGCACCTCCAGGCTAGGTTTGGGATAATTATGAGAGTGAGAAAATAAGCTTCGACATAAAGGGGCAGGGCTGGCCTTTGGGTTCAGTCCCCTCCAGGTTTGGGGAGGCTGTACCTGTATAACGCTCTCAGTTTTCTCATATGGAAAAAGAAGTAGCGCAATATTGGGAAGATGTCAGCTCCCACTGCAGGATAATTCCCATCAAGGGCCCCAAGGACAGGGCTTGTAGTTCACACAGCCAGTGGCCTAAACTTTCGGTTCTCATTGGACCGGATCAGTGGTGTCCAAGATCAGGGACTGAGAAGACCGGTTTCTGCTCAGTTATTTTACCAAGTCTCTCTGTCACCTTCCCACCCTAGTTATTTATAGGGTCAGCTGCTCCTCCTAGTGATAGACAGCCTCCTTTAGTTAAATGTCTGTGCTTTGGAGAGGTGGGAGTGCCCCACCATACCCCTTCTCCTGGAGTGAAGGATGGTGCAAGACTCTGAGAAATCATCTCTTTGAGAGAAAGGAAAATACTGAAGATTCTGGTGATTCACTCCACCCCTTGCTCCTCGAGGGACTAGAAACCGGTCTTGAAATTATTTGAAATTTCTTGGTTATGATATCCTCCAAAATTATGTTTTAGACCCTTGGACTTGTGTTGGGGAGGGCAGCAAGGGTGTTTGAGATGACTTTTGGGAAGCTGTAATGGAGACTCCAGGAGCAGGGAGCAAGTGTTTTTGAGTGTAGGGATACAGCTTTTACTGTGGAAAGGAGGATTCTGTTCCTCTGAGATACAGGCTGGCATCTAAGTTTGGGGCATATTGAGGAGCTGTCGACTGGAGGGTTTTTGTGGGGGTGAGAAGTAGATGGATCCTCCCTGCCTGGTTAGATGGACCCATTAGTTTGGGTTCTGGGGTGGAGGGGAAGGGGACACCAGCTAATAGGGTAACTTATGTGTCAGAAATACTGAGATGGGAGTAGGGAGGGTTCAAGGATGGGCAACTTTGAGAAACTGATTCCTTACTTTCAGATCCTGTTGGGTAAGGACACAAGAGGCAGCATTTGGGGTGGAGAGTTTATTTATTGCTCCATCCCATTGACCTGGCCAGCCCAGACTCTACCAGCAAGGGTAGTCGCAATAGTAGTTAGGATAGGTCTCAGACACAAACTCAGGGTGGACAATATAGTTGTTTCTCTGGGGACCACCGGTCTTCTTGAAGTGACTTGTGTCCCATCTGTAGGGAGAGATGGACCAGCTCTTCTGGACCTTCATATATCAAGGTGAACTTCTGACTCTAATTCTCAATGATAACCTTACCCCAATATTTTACTTCTAGCACTGACCCTGGGCTCCAACCAGACCCACATTGGCCTCCTGACCTCAGGTTCTACTGTTAAGTTTCTGAAACCCCCTACATTCCTAAGACTTCTTCTTCTATGTAAAGCCTCGAACGCAATGCCCTTGACTCTCAACCCACTGCCAACTATAATCCCTCAATTCTGGCCTTGCTCTCTCCTAGGGTCCTTTATCTCTTGCCAGCTTTGGTTTCCCCATGGCACTAGCTCCTCCTGGTGGCATCTTCCTGTCGTTGCATCACATCGGGCAATTTCCACGCCAACTAGTCCCCTCCCCCGACCTCCACGACACTAAGGGAACAGTCTCCAGTGCGCATGTGTAAATGAATGTGTGCGCTTCAGACTTACCTAAGGTTCGGACAAGGGTAGAAAGACGGCGGGGGAGTTGTAACAACACATTGCATTCCGGGCCGGTGGTCGTAGGGCGAAACACCCCTGGAGGAGGAAGCAGTGGCAGGGAGGAATTGGGCCTTTTGATACTCTGGTATCCCCAAAGTCCAGGCCAGCACCTGGGAGACGCTTTAGGTGTCAGTCCTACCGCGGGGATCCTCCCCTCCTTCTTTCTTGTTCTTCAAGACCCTACAGCGGCACCGCTTCTGGGAAGCCCTCTGAAAGTCCCCTCCTCTCAAGGCCTCTTTTCTGCCACTCAGGGTGGGCATTGATGGAGCACGCGGGATTCTGGGGTGGGTTGGTCAGTCATTGAGGGACTGGGAGCCTCCAAGTCCCTGCAGAGGGACAGCAGTTTTCCCAGCACGATGGAAGAGGCAGCTTTTCTGAGCCTCCTAGAGGTTTAGGCTTTTTTCCACACCTCCTGGTATCTCCCAGCCTCAGCTCCTTTATTTGGCACAGGGAATTAAACCCAAGGCCTTGCACATGCTAAGCAAGTGTTCTACCATTAGGCTACTTCCACAACCCTCATTATTTTTTATTTTGAGACTAATAAATTCGCTAAATTGCCCAGATTGGCCTCTGACTCCGAGTCGCTGAAATTACTGTTGTAAGCCACAAAGCCCCGCCTCTGTACCTTTTTGAAGACTTGGCCCCAGTCTCGCAAAATGAATCAGGCTCTCTTGCCTTGGGAATCACCCAGGAGTTGGGGATAGGGCTCAGGACTCTCTCTGCACAGCTTTCTAAACTGCCACAGATTAAGAGTTTGCTGATTACAGGTCGAATACTGTGCTGTTTCAGTCTGGAAGCGGTCTGTGCCCTGGAGCCTTTCCTTAGAAGTAACATGCATCTCTATTCCCAGAGGTGGTGAGGGACTATGAAGAGGCCAAGTCTGCTCTAGTGGGGCGGTTATTTCTTTGCTCACTTAGCCCCCAGCAGTGACCCCACTCTTTACTGACGGTGACCCGAGACCCAGGAAGACATTTTGCAGGCTAGAACCTGGGTCTGGAGGGCCAGGTAGGTGACCAAGTAGGGGGCAGGGCTAGCTTGTGTGGAAAGCGGATGGGACTGATATGCAGGATTTCGAATCCTCAAAACACCGTTCTGCAGGACCTCCTGAGAACCTGAGAGGCACCAGGTTGATCTGACCGCAGTTCTGGAGGGACAGGGTCGGACATTTGGGGAAACCTTTCATGAAGTTTCTCTGCCTCAGCTGTTCACTTACTTCCTGGGGCCCTATAAAACGAGAGAGCCCGGCTACAGGCCGGCGGGGGTGCTGGCGCGGAGTCTGGACTGGGTTAGAAATATGGTGGGATGCAGCGCGTGCAGCTAGGTTTTGCCAGACTCCGCGGCCAGGCTCGTTTGGGGGCGGAGTCCGGCCGAGGTGGGCAGAGCCCTGCGAACCTTACACTCGGAAGCTCCGGGCACACAGGCCGCAGGCGGCGATCGGTGCAAGGGTCCCCAACGGAGTAGCAGTTCAATCCACGCAGACAGTAGTGGCGGCCGGAGCAAGCACTTCGGTAACCTTGGTAAGGCAGGCGGCCTGGGAGCGGATCCAGGCACCCGCAACGGGGAGTGATCTGAGGCAGCGGCTGTTTCCGAGACAGCGAGTTTAGCATGTTCACCACCACTTCGCGCTCTTCGCCCGCGGGTCCACAGCCCAGGAGACCCAAAGACAGACACAGGGATGAGAAAAGGCAGGGCCAGAAACAGGGAGAGGCAGAAATAAAAATGAACAAATAGACACAGTTACACCTTCTTCAGGATCCTCGGCCTCTGCTGTCCCCCAGATCCCCGTTCGGCCCCCTTTCGGTCTCCCCCTTCCCTCTCAATAAACATTCTCTCCACACTGCCACCACCCTTTACCATAAGCATTGAGGCGCTCCGGCTTAGAGGGGCACTCCAACGGCATTCCTCGAACTACAGTCTCCATCCCAGCCTCCTGGAAATGACACACATGCTACCTAAGGCTGTGACCCGGAAGAAATGTTTGCTTCTGGGGACCCTCTCAGAACACCTAGACCTGTTGCCAGGCTGAGCCTTTCCCTGCGGTCAACAGCTCCCCTAACTTTCCAGGGTGTATGGGGTTGTAGCTGGGCAACGCATTTACTCCGCCTGAGGGGGCGGGGCTAGGGTGAGAGGATGTGGATGGAGGAGGGGTTTTGGCCTGGGCCTCTGCAATCTTGCCTTAAATTTTACTACTGGTTGTCTAGTTGTGCCTGGCTGTCTAATAGAGGACTTTCAATAATACTTTCTCATCAGAATCGCCTGGGGGAACTTTTGAAAAGTTCTGATTCTTGAGGAAGTTCTAATTCAAAATGTTCGCTCTGCCCTTGGGTCATCTTACATTTCTGCCAGCCACCTGGGCCTTTGGTGGGATTTCCTCCTACCTCCTGGGGAGAGTCTCCTATGTTTGCACTGCAACCGAGTAGCCTTGCTATCCTGCTGTTTGCTCACATCACAAGGGAGGGGGAGGTGGGTCAGGAAGATCCAGCTTATTATTGACTCCTGGGTCAGCCCCTGTGTCACAGTGGCCAGATCGGGTGTGGATGGATCAGTTGGTAAGCTTGGAGAAGGTAGCATGCCAAGAATGCACACCAGTCATGTCCCTACCGTGCCTGATCAGAGATTGGAACCCAGCTCCAGGTTCCCTTTTCAGTTAAAAAATACAAACCCTAGTTTCACAGTTGTGGAATAGCTCTGGTGTGTTGTTGGTGGGAAAGGAATGAGGAACTAATGATGAAATATCAGTCACCATGGGTTGGGAGGTGGTGTGTGTGTGTGTGTGTGTGTGTGTGTGTGTGTGTGTGTGTGTCCCAAACCCAGACATTTGTGGTGGGCATAGTAGGTACCTTAGGCAGTCGGGGAAGGCAGGTGGTATACTTATTCCAGTAGGCACAGTTGTAAGGTTCTGTCCTCCATGTGCTGCACCGGTCATTGTCCATGTAGCTCGAGAGGCATTTGTCTTCTTCATGGGGGTGGGGGGGATGGAGTTGTCAGTGTTCAGTGTTATTCCTTACTCCACTAAGGATCAGCCCCCTGTCTAAGTTCCTTTTCTGATCTCCAGCAATAAGCTGATCCTTACTTACATTCTTCAGGTCAGTCCCAAGCCCATCCTGTCCTCATTTGTCATTTTATTTATTTTTTAATTGTCAATGGACCTTTATTTTATTAATTTATTTATATGTGGTGCTGAGAATCAAACCCAGTGCCTCACACATGCTAGGCAAGAACTCTACCACTGAGCCGCAACCCCAGTTCTCATTTGTCTTTTGACATTGAGATGAAGCCCATGTCCCACATAAGACAAGCTTCTGCATGTCCATTGTGCTAATCATTCTTTGTCCTGATATTTTCTTTTAATGAGCCAGCCTGGAAATGGGGACTCCTCCCATCCAAGCTTCAAGATATGTCTATTCTTTTTCCTTAAAATTGCTGAAATCTATCCCCTCTTCTAGCCCTTCTCCCATGATTTCACTTCCTTATCTCTATAGTACCTTAACCTAGAGGTAATACATAAAGTCATGCTTAACAGAATGGATTGCCTGGATTCAAATTTCAGTTCTGTTAATTATTTGTTAATGTGTGAGATTGACCAAATTAATTTTCCTGTTTTCTCAACTTCAGATGGGGTGAAAATATATCATAGGGTTGTTATGAGGTTTAAATGAGTTAACCTATGTAAAACTTTTCTTTTCTATTTTTTTTTTCTATATGGAGAACTGAACCCAGGGCCTTGTACATGTCAGGCAAGTGCTCTACCACTGAGGACCATTAACAGCCCCTACATAAAACATTTAGAACAATGCCTGGCATCTAAACAAGCTATTATGATTAACCCACTGATCTCCTTCCCTAATTTTTGAAAACCTATAGTCCAACCTCAACATAGAAACTGTAAAATGAAAATTTGACCAAGACCCTTCCCTAGTTGTTTTAGCACTTTAACACTGTTCTTATCTATCACCTAAGCCTGACCTACAAGATCCTCTGTGATTCATTCCCCAACAGTGATAGACAGGAATGAAGAAGTCCTAGAGGGAGAGGAGGTGGGTGAGGAGAGGGTGTGGCCAATTGGGATTTGGAATTCTGAGTTGGTGGGTTAGACATAATGAGTTTGAGGTGCTTGGGCACATCCAGGTAAAGTTGAGAGGCATTCTCGGGAGAAGTCAAGACTGGAAATACAAATGTGGAACTACCAGTAATTACAGCTATGGATTAGATAACCTGGCATTGGGGGAGGAGCAAGGAGAGAAAAGAACTCTCAATAGCACCCTGAAGGACCCCATGTTTCCATAGTGTATACACAAGAGACCTAGGAAAGTGAGGCATCAGAGAAGCCAATTGTGGAAGTAATTTCAAGAAGCAAAGAGTGGTCAGAAGAGTGAAGTGCTTAGGGTGGGTCTCAGAGGGTACATTGAAATCCCATGATTTTGGGCTGGGGATGTGGCTCAAGCGGTAGCGCGCTCGCCTGGCATGCGTGCAGCCCGGGTTCGATCCTCAGCACCACATACCAACAAAGATATTGTGTCCACCGAGAACTAAAAAATAAATATTAAAAAATTAAAAAAAAAAAAAAAAAGAAATCCCATGATTTAGAAGTTAGATAAACACGAGTGCAATTTTAATGTTTGAGTGTAGGAAATGTGAATTCTTTTTTTTTTTTTTAATATTTATTTTTTAGTTCTCGGCGGACACAACATCTTTGTTGGTATGTGGTGCTGAGGATCGAACTCGGGCCGCACGCATGCCAGGCAAGCGCGCTACCACTTGAGCCACATCCCCAGCCCCGGAAATGTGAATTCTTAATTTCAATTGGGAATTAGCAATTAACTAGGAAAACTGGTACCTCTGAAGCCCCTTAGCAAAGAAGGAACAGATATGAATTAGAGAAGATTATTGACCTCTTTTGGATTGGACTGGGAGACAGATCATAAACACGCAAAGCGGAAAGATAATTTCTCATTTAGGGGTAAATGAAGGGTGAGGAAGTACAGACAAAGAATATTGACTATGTTTCTGGGAATTTTGGCTGTGAAGGATAGAAACGAGAATTTTTATGCAGGAAAAATTAGAAAATGTTACGGGTTCAGGGAAAGAGATAGTGGGTGCAGGAAAAATGGAGAGAATGGATGGAGCAGTGTTGCTAAGAAGATGTGAGGTGAGCTGGATGCAGTGTCGCACATCTGTAATCCTAGAGGCTCAGGAGGCTGCAATGGGAGGATTATGAGTTCAAAGCCATCCTCAGCAACAGCAAGGCACTAAGCAACTCACAACTCCGTGACACCCTGTCTCTAAATAAAATACAAAATAGGGCTGGGGATGTGGATCAATGGTTGAGTGCCTCTGAGTTCAATCTCTGGTATCCCTCCCCCCTAAAAAAAAAATGATGGGAGAAGATGGCATCTGAATACTTTGAGGAGGTTGTGTGGTAGAGGTTAATATTCTCTCCATCTCTATAAGGATTAGAATCCAGGGCTTTTCCAGTTGTGTTTTTTTTTTTTTTCTTTTTTCTCCTTTTCCAGAGAGAAAAATTCCAAAAAGCAAGGAGGCCTGGTCAGGACAGGTGATTGGGAGTTAAGTTGGATTTGTTGTTAATTAGGGAACAGGTATAGGTCATGGGTGGAATTCAGGTTGGGGGTCACTGTTGGGGTTTCTTCTGGGGTCAGAGTAGAGTGAAAAGTGGGGCCCTACCTTCCTCTTGAGACAGCCAGTACTTCTCAGGAAAGTAAGGATGACCTGATATGGAACTTTTATAGCCATAGTCTTGGGTAGCACATTTGATCATCTTCTGCAGGGCTTCAGGGTCCACATGGCGCTCCATAGTCTGAGTCAGACCCTGGGTAAGGGGAGAGAGGAGAAGTGGCTAGGTGTATAGAGACCCTCTGGGGCCTTGCTAGACCTAGATCCAACCCTTTTTGATTCGGCTCTGGTAGTACCCAATCTTCTCTATGCCAGTCTTTATTCCTTGGCACAGTTTCTTGTTTGAATTATTCCCTCCCCCTCCTCCCCATCTGAGGTTAGGGCTTGGAGCCAGGTTTTTGCTCCTAGTCAGAGTAATTTTCTGACCTTTCATTTCTGTAATTTCCTGACTGCCAGCTCTTGAAGGTCAGAGCTGAATGTTCCTGTTCTCTTTCTTCTGGACTATGTGCTACCTGGGAACAGGACCTGAGTCTCTTCCAATAGGGCCAGTAGGCCTCTGGAGAATTGAGAAATGCTGTATGTCCTTATACAGGTTTCTTGGACAGGGAGGGCTCTCTGAGAATCTTGCATCATAAATGGGCTGAAGGGTGGGGTTGGTGGGATGTCTCTTTTAAAATTTAATTCCTTGTCTCTGACCAACTCTGATTCTGCTGTGACATTGATCATGACTCAGTATTGACCTTGACACTTCCTCTGCCCTCATTCTCATCCTACTTTGATCTTTTTCCTGTTCTTGGTCTGAGCCCTAGTTCTCTCTGCTTCTTGATGTTCTCCTAATCTCAGCCCATCATTCCTGATTGGGCTAGATCTGTAGAAACTCAGATTAAGACCTCCCTTTGGGGGGCTGGGGATGTGGCTCAAGCGGTAGCGCGCTGGCCTGGCATGCGTGCGGCCCGGGTTCTATCCTCGGCACTGCATACAAACAAAGATGCTGTACCCGCTGATTACTAAATAA